GACGGCACGGACAAGAACTAGACACAATGAAGAGAATATTAACAGACAAATAGCAATATTGTCTGCTTGTAAAAACCAGTGATGTGTTGGCAAATGATCAGTACCATTTCATATTTATACTTTTTTTGTTCGATCAACGTCAGTAGTGGGCCTTCGAATGTCGCCATTCTGATCAGAACTTAGTTTTTCCTCTTTAAAATTACTGAAGCCCAGATTACATTTGCGACGGGCGTACGCTTTTCCGTGAGTTTTTAGGCACTAGCAACGGGCTTCGGCGAGCACGTTTGCAATTACGCGCGGGTGCTGTGTCATTTCTCCAATATGATCTTGAGGTCACATAGGGAAAATCGGTTTGTTGGTCTTCCTCGAAGGTCGGTACGTTGCTGGTGCAGCCTCCTAAGGACGTGATCAGAATAAGGAAACACAAAACTTCAAATTTATTGTTATGTCTCGTAAAACTACAATTAAAGCTGGAATGTAACAACAGGTTCATGCAGTCATCAAGGGCAGGTCCAGGATTAATTGAGGGGGGGGGGGCGGATGCGAAGGGGTTGGGGTTCAATGAGGATTTTAAAACCCTGAGGCAGTCGGAAAGCTTAAAAAAGCTTGAAAAATAGACATCAATTATGTTATAAGGTTTATCAAAATTATTAAAAAGGTGTTTTCAAGTAATCCTGATAGTTGATTGGCGTTTGTGATAAATTACTGGATTGTTTTGTCTTCATTTTAGAAAATTTATTCTAATAAATTGCTTACAAGGTCAGCCAACACAGGAGTAGTGAAAAGGTTTAGCAGTGACGACCGGACTGAAGCAAGTAAGGTTGGATGGTGCGCCATGGTCAACTGATAGACAAGTTGTGGGAGTCCATTCAATGACAGGGATTTTTGTTTAGTGGTGAAAATCCACTCAATCTGAGGGATGTCAGGTGGGGCGACTCCATTCCAAATAAAGTTTTGTTATATGGAGCGATTCCATTGCATTAAAGGGGTGAAAGGTGGGGCGAGTCCATTGCATTGAAGGGGCGACTGGTGGGGCGAGTCCATTGCATCAAGGGGGTGGCAGGTAGGGCGAGTACATTGCATTAAGGGGGG